CAGATAGCAATATATATAAAAAATGTCAGAAGGAAAGAGGAGAGCTCTAAACAGTATGCTTTTCCCAGCACCACAAATGCCCCTGATATGACCCAGAGAGAGGTTTCCACAGGGTGACCTTCAAACGGGCAATTATCCAGTTCTAGCTAGGCCAATCTAGAAGGCACTGGAAAGCCAATCTAGAATGATTAGAGGCATACCCTCAGAGTTCATTGGCACTTCAGTAAAATAGAAAATGAAAAAAGTTTAAATACTCACTGTTATCTTTTGACCCAATATTTCCAGACCTAATAATTTGCCCTAAATATATATATATATTATTATTATTATTAATTATATATTTATAAACATATGTATATATTTTAATGTATATGCTTAGGGCTATTTATTGCAGGGAGGAAAGAAGGGCAAAAAAGGAAGCAATCTAACAATTGGAAAATAGTAAAATAAATCAGCACATACCAACTCAACATATTCATAAGTGCTCAGGCTTTGACGCCATTAAAATAATCACTCTTGGGGGTGCCTAGGTGGCTCAGTTGGTTAATGCACCCAGCTCTTGATTTTGGTTCAGGTCATGATCTCACAGTTTGTGGGTTCAAGTCCCACATCTGGCTCTGTGCTGATGGTGCAGAGCCTGTTTGGGATTCTCTGTCTCCCTCTCTCTTTACCCTTCCCCCACTTGCACTCTGTCTCTCTCTCTTTTTCTCCCTCAAATAAAGTTTTTTTTTTTTAATATGATCACTTTTTTTGCTGTAGTGGTAGATACTGGGATCTTTGGATGCTGAGCCTTTATTCTCAGCACCTGAGAATAAGCACCCTGACTTTCACCTGAGTAATTATTTTCCCACATAGCACATAGTCTTGGTAAAATTCATGGGCCTAGCTCATACTAGGGAATCCAAAGAGATCCCTGGAGCCTCCTGCTAATCCTTCCTCTTAAGCCTGCCATTGCCAAGGGCAGGGTACATGCCCTACGCTCAGCCAACCAGACTCTTTTTCCCAGGACTTTGAAGCATAGTAAAAAACTGACAGAAAAAACAAAGTTCATCTGTTCCAGCCACGACTGTCAAGAGACCTGCTGCCTGGCAGTCTACCCAGCTACTCATTCCAAGGCTGGTTTTCAGGTTTCCTTTAGCATCCCACATACTTCAAATGAAATGCCTTTTTGCTTAAGTTGCCAGAATCAGGGTTTTCCCCCTTGCACTCAAAGATTAATTAATACCTAGACTGATTAAATAATACTAGACCCAGTGCCTGCTAGATTGGCCTATCTAGAACTGGATAATTGGCAGTGGACCTTCATGGAAATTGTGGGGCATATTTGGAATTAGTTATTTGGTGAAGATAAAACAAAAAACAGTAACACCCTCCTCCTTTATGTTCTGAGAGAAAATCTAGCAGCCCATGGCACACACTGGACAAACAAGCCATTAGGTTATCAACTTTGATCACTTAGCTCTAAGTCACATGACCTTAAGTCCTCTCTGATGGTTTTATGTGCCAACCTGACTGGGCTAAGGGATGCCCAGAGAGCTGGTTAAACATTACTTCAGGATGTGTTCATGAGGGTATTGGAAGAGATTAGTATTTGATTCAGTAGACTGAGTGAATAGATCTACCCTCACCAACATGAGCAGGCATCATCCAATCCAATTCATGGAGAGCCCAATTACAACAAAAAGGCAAAGGAGGGGCAAATTCCCTGTCTCTCTTCTTCAATTGAGACATCCATCTTTTCCTGCCCTCAGGCGTTGGACATCAGCCACTGGGGCTTCTGATTCTCGGGGCTTCAAACTCCAGGGCTTACACCAACAGCCCTCACCCTGGTTCTCAGACTGAATTACACACCACCAGTTTTCCTGATTCACCAGCTTGTAGATGACAGACTGGGGGACTTCTCAGTCCCCATAACCACACAAGCCAATTTCTACAATAAATCTCCTCATCTATATCTGTACATATTTTGTACATATTCTGTTGGTTCCGTTCCTCTGTGGAACCCTATTATCTCCCCCTTTGACTGTAACTGGCCTGCTTTACACCTTTGGAATCCTCTCCCTTTTACAATTTTCCCCTGAATGTGTCTTTTTTTTTTTTTTTTTACTTTTTTTTTGAGAGAAAGCAAGAGAGAGAAAGAGAGAGAGAGAGAGAGAGAGAGAGAGAGAGAGAGAGAATGCATGTGAGCAGGGGAGGGGCAGAGGGAGAGGGAGAGAGAGAATCTCAAGCAGACTCCACGTAAAGCTCCATGCGGCACTCCATCTCACAACTGTGAGATCATGACCTGAGCTGAAATCAAGAGTCAGACGCTCAACTTACTGAGCCACCTCAGTGCCCCAGATGTGTCATTTTTAAATGGAGTTTTACTATAAATAATTGCATTGAAAAGATTTTTTAAAAAACTAAGCCAAGATGGATTCCTGGACCTCTACCCTGTATTTAGTCTCCAGCCATGGTCTCATCTAGTAGTACATGAGACACATAAGCAGTGAACAGAGTTCTTACTTTGACAAGTAGAAAACCTGAAAGGTGACTAAGGATAACGTACCTCTCTTTTACTGACCTTTCCAGAAGCAGTGTAACCAACACACTTTCAAGAACCACATAAAGGGCACCTGTGGGTACAATGAAACCCCCCAGGAATATGATCAGGTGGGGACAGTTACTCCTTCCAGTGACCATAGGAGAGTGGTTTTACACTGCTACTCTTGCTGGCTATTTGATGTGTCAGTAGAATGGCCCATGCAGTAACCTGCAAGATGAGTGAAGTTGTCTGGCTATAGGAGTCAATATGAAGCATAAACACTTACAGGTTGAGTGTAAGGTATAAAAGAAAATGAGGGTGAGTAGAGCTACTATCGAACATAGAGTAATCCAAACTCCACACCTACAGTCATTTGTCCTTTATTGTGCTGTACAAATGTATGACTATGTAAGTACTTTACTGATTGGTAACTGTTTTTTTTGTACAAAAGATAACTTTTGGCAGGAATGAGCTGAAAGAAAGAATGCATGTTTAATGAGAAATCAAGTACTAATTTCCCATTTCTTAAAAAAGTTGCTGGGGCGCCTGGGTGGCGCAGTCGGTTAAGCGTCCGACTTCAGCCAGGTCACGATCTCGTGGTCCGTGAGTTCGAGCCCCGCGTCGGGCTCTGGGCTGATGGCTCAGAGCCTGGAGCTTGTTTCCGATTCTGTGTCTCCCTCTCTCTCTGCCCCTCCCCCGTTCATGCTCTGTCTCTCTCTGTCCCAAAAATAAATAAACGTTGAAAAAAAAATAAAAAAAAAAAAAGTTGCTAATGAACTTGTCAAGTGTTGGTCAATATTTATCTTCCTCCATGGTGCGTCCACAATGACATGCCTAACCACATGAAAACCAGAGGGCCCAGTGCTACTAAAAAGTTCAGCATGTACTTCAAAAGTTATAATTTGTTGGGGCACCTGGGTGGCTCAGTCTGTTAGGCGTCTGACTCTTGGTTTCGGCTCAGGTCATGATCTCACAGTTTCATGGGTTCAAGCCTGGCATCAGGGTCTGCGCTGACAGGGCAGAGCCTGCTTGAGATGCTCTCTTTCCCTCTCACCCTCTGTCTCTACCCCTCCCCCATTCATACTGTCTCTCTCTCTCTCTCAAAATAAATATATAAACTCAATTTTTTTATTTAGAATTTATGAAGAAAACTGGGCCCAAAGATGGCAATTTAACATGTCAGCCACAGCAGTGTTTATATATTACTCTGTGATATGTGACTTGTCACTTAGATCATATTACTATTCTTCTAAATTAACTGTTTTCACTTATTCCAGGATTTCTTGTGGCACTACATAAAGTAAAACGTTAACGTGTGGGCTTCACTAATAGGAAAAAAATGCAAATGGTTAAATGAGGCCAATTTTGTATCAGGGAGGGTACAGATGAAGATGTAGAGACCACATACCCAGTTCTCCTCTCTTTCAGATAACAAGGAAGGAATGTACGTGTCCCCTTCCACCGTGTTACCAGGTCTAACAAAGTTCTTACAAGTGGCATGTGCCATTTCCAGACTGAAGCATTTGATTGCTGGTTCAAGGCTCTACAGCACTTCCTTGCCCTGCCTTGGTAACCTTGAAGGCCTCATGTTCCAAACTCTGAAGCCATGACATGATTGGGTCTCCCTTAGCCTGAGCCTCTGAAAGACTGAGAAGCAAGTACACTCACTGGCCGGTGTAGACTATGAAACTTGAGTGAGAACTGAATCTGTTAGCCATAGGATTTGGGGGTTATGTGTTACCATGGTACAGCCTGTCCTATTCTAACTAATACAGAAGAATTCTAAGATATTAGGAAGGGGGAAGAGTATTGCTGATGGGATTTAATAACATAAAGCAAGAGAATGGTAATATACTTTTTAACGCTTATTTTTGAGAGAGAGAGAGAGAGAGAGAGAGAGAGACAATATGAGCAGGGGAGGGGCAGATAGAGACAGAGAGAGGGGAGAGAGAGATGCAGAATCCGAAGCAGCTCCAGGCTCTGAGCTGTCAGCACAGAGCCCAATGCAGGGCTCAAACTCACAAACAGATCATGACCTGAGCTGAAGTCAGAAGCTTAACTGACTGAGCCCACCCATGCACCTGGTAATATATTTTAATATATATTTTTAAGTTTTTGTTTAACAGGTTTGGTATCTGTTTGGGATGATGAAAAGTTCTGGAAATAGTGGTGATGGTTGCATGTTACAAATATATTTAATGCTCCTGAATTGTGTACTTAAAAGTGGTTAAAATGGTAGGGGTGTTCGGGGGTTCAGTCAGTTAAACCTCCAACTCTTGATTCAGCTCAGGTCATGATCTCACGGTTTGTGGATTCAAGCCCCATGTTGGGGTCTGCACTGACAGCACAGAGCCTGCTTGGGATATCCCTCTCTCCGTCTCTTTCTGCCCCTTCCCACCCCCCCTAAAATAAGGTAAAAACATTAAAAAATCTTTTTAAAAAGTGGTTAAAATGGTGAATTGTATGTTGTATACATTTTACCACAATAAAAAAACGTAAGTATAAAGTTTTTCTACCAAAATCTTCCAGTAATTTTAAGGGTTAGAAAACCAGTCATTCATATATTGTTGTTGAGAATATAAACAGGTATTTCCTTCTGGAGGCAGTTTTGGTGATACTTATTAAAATTTCTTTGAAATGTGATGCCATTGATTCATTTATTCTCCTTGTGGGAATTCAACCTAAAATTAAAAAAAAAAAATAGTGATTTATAAAGTTTTATGCAAAATGATCTTAACCTTAGCATGGTTTTTAAAAGCCAAAAATATGAAATTGTCTAAACTTGACCATGGTGGATTGATTAAACAATTTAGGGTATATTCATACTTTGAGCACTAATTTTAGCTGTCTAAAATTATAGTACAAAAGACTATTTCATGAAAAATATTAGAGAAATACTCCAATATAATGTTAAATGAAAAAGATACAAACACTAGGTCTTAAGTTGAATAATAAGTTCTTAGATGTAAGGTTAGTTTGACAGTGTTGATTCATTTTTAATTTTTTTAAGTTTGAAAATTAAAATTTAAAAATACATTTCTTTATTTTGAGAGAGTCAGAGAGAGCATGAGTGGGGGGTGGGGGGGTAGAAAGCAAGGGACAGAGAGAATCGCAAGCAGGCCCCATGCTGTCAGTACAGAGCCCGAGGCAGGGCTTGAACCCATGAAACTGTGAGATCACTACCCAAGCGGAAACCAAGAGTCAGACACTCAACTGACTGAGCCACCCAGGCACCCCTGACAGCATTGATTCTTAATGAATCTATGCAGACTATGTTTATAAAATTATTTTCTGTGATTGTTAACTGTGGTTACATGATTACAACTACAAGTCCTTTAAATATCTCAGGATACAATTTATCTGGGCATAAAAAAATTCATTAAAAGAATTAAATTTGCTTCTTACCTTCCTTGAATTTATGTTTCCTCCTACCATTATTCTTTTACCCTTTTCATTTGAAGGTAGTTATTGAGAGAAGAATGGAGAAAAAGAGACTTTGGTTAGTTCTGCTTTCTCTGTTATCTTTTAAACATTACATCATTTTCCCCAGAGTCTTTACGGTTTTGTTCTTGCCATGAACATGACCTTAAAAGGGCACTCCCCCCCCCCCCCCCCCCCCCCCCCCCTTTTTTTTCCTTTTTTTTTTTTTTAACTATGTTTCACATGTCTAAGTTCCTTCTGGATTCTGCTTTCCCTGATATCATTAGTCAAGGTTCATGCTGCTCTCTAGTATTTATGTAAATGTACACATCTATCTATCCTTTCATATTTTGGGCTCATAAAGGAATATCTCTGTAGTTACTTGGTGTTTTAAGATCTCCCTTTTTTTCTTCCCTATTCAAATTATTTAAGAAAGTAGTCTTCAACCTGAGTTATAGGAACCCCCAAAAGTTTGTGAATACTTTTCAAGTATTCTTTTTTTTTTTGCAAGTTCTCCTGCCCACCTCCCCTTTCACAGTGACTCTGTTTGCACGGAAGAGGAGAAGGTAGAAAAGCACACTGCAAGTTCATTCATCTGCACACTTGTCCCAAGATGTAAAAATCTCCAGGGTACCAAGGGGACAATTTGAAATATTTTTGTCTGGAAGCCTTCTACAATGATTAACCCAGATGGTGACTATTGTCTTTCCCTGTCTTATGCACATTTCTTTTTTTTTTAACTTGTTTTATTTTTTACTTTTTTAAAATTTACATCCAAATTAGTTAGTATATAGTGCAACAATGATTTCAGGAGTAGATTCCTTAGTGTCCCTTACCCAATTAGCCCATTCCCCCCCCAACCCCTCCAGTAACCCTCAGTTTGTTCTCCATATTTATGAGTCTCTTATGTTTTGTCCCTCTCCCTGTTTTTGTATTATTTTTGTTTTCCCTTCCCTTATGTTCATCTGTTTTGTCTCTTCAAGTCCTCATATGAGTGAAGTCATATGATTTTTGTCTTTCTCTGACTAATTTCACTTAGCATAATACCCTCCAATTCCATCCACGTAGTTGCAAATGGCAAGATTTCATTCTTTTTGATTGCCGAGTAATACTCCATTGTATATATATACCACACCTTCTTTATCCATTCATCCATCGATGGATATTTGGGCTTTTTCCATACTTCGGCTATTGTTGATAGTGCTGCTATAAACATGGGGTGCATGTGTCCCTTCGAAACAGCACACCTGTATCCCTTGGATAAATGCCTAGTAGAGCAATTGCTGGGTCGTAGGGTAGTGCTATTTTTAGTTTTTTGAGGAACCTCCATACTGTTTTCTAGAGTGGCTGCACCAGCTTGCATTCCCACCAACAATGCAAAAGAGATCCTCTTTCTCCGCATCCTTGTCAACATCTGTTGTTGCCTGAATTGTTAATGTTAGCCATTCTGACAGGTGTAAGGTGGTATCTCATTGTGGTTTTGATTTGTATTTCCCTGATGATGAGTGACGTGGAGCATTTTTTCATGTATTGGTTGGCCATCTGGAAGTCTTCTTTGGAGAAGTGTCTATTCATGTCTTTTGCCCATTTCTTCACTGGATTCTTTGTTTTTTGGGTGTTGAGTTTGATAAGTTCCTTATAGATTTTGGATACTAACCCTTTATCTGCTATGTCATTTGCAAATATCTTCTCCCATTCTGTCGGTTGCCTTTTAGTTTTGCTGATTGTTTCCTTTGCTGTGCAGAAGCTTTTTATTTTGATGAGGTTCCAGTAGTTCATTTTTGCTTTTGTTTCCCTTGCCTCCAGAGACTTGTTGAGTGAGAAGTTGCTGCGGCCAAGATCAAAGAGGTTTTTGCTTGCTTTCTCCTCGAGGATTTTGATAGCTTCCTGTCTTACATTGAGGTCTTTCATCCATTTTGAGTTTATTTTTGTGTATGGTATAAGAAAGTGGTCCAGGTTCATTCTTCTTCACGTAGCTGTCCAGTTTTCCAAGCACCACTTGCTGAAGAGACTGTCTTTATTCCATTGGATATTCTTTCCTGCTTTGTTAGAGATTAGTTGGCCAAACGTTTGTGGGTCCATTTCTGGGTTCTCTATTCTGTTCCATTGATCTGAGTGTCTGTTCTTGTGCCAGTACCATACTGCCTTGATGATTACAGCTTTGTAGTATAGCTTGAAGTCTGGGATTGTGATGCCTCCTGCTTTTGTTTTCTTTTTCAAGATCACTTTCACTATTCGGGGTCTTTTCTGGTTCCATACAAATTTTAGGATTATTTGTTCTAGCTCTGTGAAGAATGCTGGTGTTATTTTGATAGGGATTGCATTGAATATGCAGATTGCTTTGGGTAGTATCAACATTTTAACAATATTTGTTATTCCAATCCAGGAACATGGAATCTTTTTCCATTTTTTTTTGTGTCTTCTTCAATTTCTTTCATAAGCTTTCTATAGTTTTCAGTGTATTGCATATTTCTGTTACAGGTGAAGAATAGCCTTAGAAACCCCCCTGTTGAGATATGCTGAATATGGTATAGGGTGAGACGGGTAGGAGTGATGATAATTCCCCTTTATTAACTTGCTTCTCCCATCCTTAAATATAATTAGACAATACATGGTTCTTGAGGAAGAGACTCATGAAAGCAAATAAACACAATGTCTTTAAGAAACATTAAACTCTAAAAATGGCTCTCCTTATCTCCTGTTTGAAAATAAGCTCTTTTTCCTTTTTCAGTGTCTCCTCAGGATTCCTTCTAGAATGTGCTGTCAGCTGAAAAGAAAAGCACCCTTGAACAGATTAGTCATGCTGATTTATTAAAATATAACTGGAATGTATAACTGTGATTTTTGAGACATGATGGATAAAGCCTGTGCAGAAAAAGTTTACATGATTTATTTCAGAATGAGTTTGCATTATTTTAAAAGGGAGTTATAACTTATTTCATAATTTAATATCATAAAATAGTTATTGATTTACTGAGTTAAGCTTTCTGTGCCTCAGATTCCTCTTCTGTAAAATGGGGTTAATAATAGTACCCCTCCATTGAGTTGCTTTGGAGATTAAATGAGTCAACCTATAACCTATGCAAATCACATAGAAGAGTGCCTGGTGCATAGTAAGTGCTTTTCACATCAGAATGCTCTCCTCCCTGGTCCGAACTCTTTTCTTTGTCTGTACTCACTCCCTTGGTAATCTCACCCAGTCTCCTGGCTTCAAATATCTGTATGCCAATGATGCCCAAATTTATATTTCCCATACCTGCTCACTGCAGAACTCTAGACTCATATATTTAATAGCTTATTGGCCATCTCTACTTGGATACCTAATAGACATCCCACTCTCACTCTCTCCTAGCTGAACCCTGTTCTTTCCTCTCCCTCAATCTGCTCCACCTATAGAATTTCCCCTGCCACTTGATGTCAATGTCATCCTTCCAAATGCTCAGTCCTCCAAAACTTGGGAATAAGTCTGCACGCATTTCTTTCTCTCATACTCTACATCCAATTGGTCTTCCTAAAAATATATATATATATATCCAAGAACAAACAGAGGGTTACTGGAGGGGTTGTGGGAGGGGGTATGGGATAAATGGGTAAAGGACATTAAGGAATCTACTCCTGAAATCATTGTTGCACTATATGCTAAATAACTTGGATCTAAAATTAAAAAAATAAAATAAAAATTAAATATATATATATATCCAGAATCTGACCACCATTCACTACCCCTACCACTGAGCCCTGCTGCAAGCTACTCTGATTTGTCTCCTGTATTACTGCTTATAGACTCCTAACTAGGTTTCCTGTATGTATACATACATTGAAACCCATAAATATTATTTTATTCCAAAAAGATTGTAAAAATATGCATCAAACTGTTGGCAACGGCTATCTTAGGGTGGTGATCATTTAAAATATTTGCCTTTTTGTCCAAAAATATTATTTTTGGGAATTTATCTGTAGGAAACAATTAGGATGTGCCTAAAGATTTAAGTTCAAGGATTCTAGTTACAACAGTATGCATAATAGGTAAGAATAGGACATAGCCTAAGTATCTAACAATAGAAAAGTAGGGTTTTTTCCCCAAGTTTTTATTCAAATTCCAGTTAGTTAACATACAGTGTAATATTAGTTTCAGGTGTAGGAGTTAGTGATTCATCACTTACATGCAACAACCAGTGCTCTTCACAGCTGCCCCACTTAATCCCCATCACCCACTTAACCCATCTTTCCCACACACCACCCCTCCAGCAGCCCTCAGTTGGTTCTCCATAGTTAAAAGTCTGCTTTATGGTTTGCCTCTCTCTCTCCTTTTTCCTCCTATGTTCAACTGTTTTGTTTCTTAAATTCCACATATGAATAGGAAAGTAGTTTAATAAATTATGTTGTAGCTAAGTGATAGATTGTCTTACAAGGTTGAATATATTTTTCAAAAAATTAATAACACACCATTAGTGAAAAAAGTAATAAAATAGCAAGTACACAATGAGATTAACTTTGCAAAGTAAAAAAAATGTATATGAAGAGAAGAAAAGGTAGGAAGGATATACACAAAATATTAACAGCAGTCACCATATAGGAAACACACATAGGTGGCCATGGTCTAGAGCTGAAGAGTTGTGAAAAAGGCACTGCTTCTCCATTAGCAAACCTGCTTGGAATTCACAAACTCAGAACAAATGTGCAAATTCTAATCAACACTTCCTGCAATGTTTTGCAGTGTCAGCTTAAACAACCATCTCATTTATAGGCTACGAATGCACTCATAGAGCATATCACATGAATAAAAAGATATTTTAACTCTGAATTTGTTGTCACAAAAAATGATTCTCATACAGCATACTTAGCAAGTAGAAAAAAAAAAATCCCCTAATGCTTTTAGGAATGTAGGCCTTTTAAGTCTTTGCCAGATTAGGATGGGTTAACCTAATTTTTGCAATGACTGATAAGAGTTTCCCAAGAGCTTCTTATCAGTTTTTAACCTGTTTGAAAAAGTAGTTAAAAGAGCAAGAAATAAGTTTGCTTGGCATACTCAGTGACTGACACCCAGTTTTTAACTCATAATTTTTCTTAGTTTTTAACAGTTGAGCTTAAACGTTAGTTCTCAGAATTTTTTGTTTCATGTGTTTCTTGTAACTTACAGAATGAATCAAAAGAAGAAAAATTCTAAATTCACAACTGTCTCTTCTATTCAGGCCTATCATTTTTACCAGAGGATATTAATGTGATTAAGAAGTCTAAGAAGCCTTCTCTCTTTATTTTTTACTTATCTAAAGCATAGATACCATTAGAACTACCAACTCATTTCACTGAAAAGTAAAACCAACAAATAAAAAGCAGAATGCAAAGCTCACAAGCAATGAAATGCTATCAAGACAAGGCTATCAAAATGACCTGCAAATCAAGCTTGAGGTTTTTTTCATGAATCAAATGATCAAATTCAAATACAAAAGGTGTCAGGTATGTAATCACCACATTTCTTTATCACTTACCCATAAGACTGCCCTTAAGAGCCCACATATTTAAAAATGAGAACATGAAATTTTACAGGACTTTGTTGTAAAACTGTACGTGTACTAGAATACTGCCACTTTGCTCTTTTGGAACATAAAACACAATTTACCAAACAATAGTCCCCATAAGAGACGGAAAGATCTGATTATGTGCTTAGGAGAGCTTAAGAGCCTGCCTTTCTTTCTTTCTTTCTTTCTTTCTTTCTTTCTTTCTTTCTTTCTTTCTTTCTATTTTGGTATTCTTTGAGAACAAGCTGAAATTCTCTTGTGTTCTGGAGAGAGAGAGAAAGGCAAAAATTACTAATGTAAAACACGAACTTCTTACCAGTATCAAAACAAAACAAAACAAAGCAAAACAAAACAAATCAACTTTAGGTTTACCTGGAATGAGTGTGTGCAGTAAGAATCCCATTTTGGTCACATCTCTACAGGTGGGCTGTCTTTATAGCTTATGTCTATCAAATTTAAAATCTGAATGTTAATGACATCTAAATTAAAAAACCCCTACACGAGTGTGAACAAAGAGAAAATCATTACTTCTAGATATTTAGTCAAATTTGAGGTAGAATTTCTCCCTGGATTTACACTATGGTTCTCAATTTAGGAATTGTGATGTTTTGGAAAATGTTTCAAGAAAACTATCCTAAGGTGTGAACCTTTGTTGTTTTCTTAGTAGCAGTTAATTTTATTTATTTTTCTTCTTATTTACAAATTCTATTTTTTTTTATTGAGGTATAGTTGACACATAATGTTACATAAGTTTCAGGTGTACAACATATTGGTTCCACAACTCTATGTACTATGCTCCCCATGAGTGCAGCTACCATCTGTCACCATACAAGACTATTAAAATATCACTGACTATATCCCCTATGCTGTACTTCTTATCCCTATGACTTATTCATTCCATAACTGGAAACCTGTACCTCCTAATCCCCCTCACCCATTTTGCCTATCCTACTCTCCTCCCCTCTGGCAATCACCAACTTGTCTCTGTATTTATGGGTCTGTTTCTGCTTTGCTTGTTAATTTGTTTTGTTTTTTAGATTTCACGTATAATGAAATCATATGGTTTGTCTTTCACTGACTTATTTTACTTAGTATCATACCCTCTAGATCCATCCATGTTGTTATGAATATCAAGATTTCAAGACCGAGTAATATTCCATTGTGTATATACCACCTCTTCTTTATTCAACTATTGATGGACAGTTGGGTTGCTCTAATATCTTGACTATTGTAAATAATGCTGAATCAAACATAGGGATGCATGTATCTTTTCAAACTACTGATTTCACTTCTTTGGATAAATACCCATTTGTGGAATTACTGCATCACATGGGAGTTCTATTTTTAATATTTGAGCAACCTCAAATAGAGAACAACCATTGTTCTCTACAATGGTTTCATCAATTTACATTCCCACAAACACTACATGAGGGTTCACTTGCCTCCATATCCTTCCAACACTTGTTATTTTTTTCAGTTAATTAATTCATTCATTTATTCATTCTTTCACTTTTTGATTCTGACAGGTGTAATGTAATATCTCATTGTGGTTTTAACTTTGCATTTACCTGATGATTTATTGATGTTGGGCATCTTTTCACATACCTGTTGGGTATCTGTATGACTTTGGAAAAAGTCTGTTCAGGTCTTCTGCCCATTTTTTAATCAGATTAATTTTGGTTTTGTTGTTGTTGTTGTTGTTGTTGTTGTTTTGGTGTTGAGTTGTATAAGTTTTTTATATATTGTAGATACTAATCCCTTATGGGAGATACCATTTGTGAATATCTTCTCTCATTCAGTAGGTTGCCTTTTCTTTCTTTTTTTAAGTTTGTTTATTTTCAGAGACAGAGAGAGAGAGAGAGAGAGAGAGAGAGAGAGAGAGAGAGAGCGTGAGCATATGAGCGGGGGAGGGGCAGAGAGAGCGGGTGACAGATGATACCAGGCTCTGTGCTGACAGCAGAGAGCCTGATGCAGAGCTCAAACTCATGAACTGTGAGATCATGACCTGAGCCAAAGTCAGATGCTTAACCTACTGAGGCACCCAGGTGTCCCAGGTCGCCTTTTCATTTTGTCAATAGTTTCCTTCACTCTGCAAAAGCTTTTTTATTTTGGTGTAGTCTCAATAGTGTCTTTTTATTTTCTGGTTTTTTGCTTTTGTTTCTCTTGCCTAAGGAGACATAGATAAAAGAATATTGCTAAGGCTAATCTGTAAGAGATTACTGTCTATGTTTTCTTCTAGAAGTTGTATGGCTTCAGGTCACACATTTAGGTTTTTATTCAACTTTATTTCTGTGTATGGCATAAAAAAAGTGGTCCAGTCTCATTCTTCTGCATGTAGCTGTCAAGTTTTCCAAGCACTATTTATTGAAGAAACTGTCTTTTCCTCCATTGTATATTCTTGCCTCCTTTGTCGTATACTAATTGACCATATAAGCATGGGGTTATGTCCAGGCTTTCTATTCTATTAATTAGTGTGTCTGTTTTTATGCCAGTACCACACTGTTTTGAGTTTTATAGCTTTGTAGTATATCTTGAAATCTGAGACTATGAACCTTCAGCTTCATTCTTTTTTCTCAAGATTGCTTTGGTTGTTTGGGATCTTTTGTGGTTCCATACAAATTTTAGGATTTTTTGTACTAGTTCTGTGAAAAATGCTGTTGTTATTTGAATATTAACTATTCCAATCCATGAGCATGGCATGTCTTTCCATTTGTTTGTGTCATCTTCAATTTCTTTCATCAATGTTAAATAGTTTTCAAATTACAAGTCTTTTTCCTCCTTGATTAAGTTTATTCCTAATTAGTTCATTCTTTGGTGCAATTGTAAATGGAATTGTTTTCTTAATTTATCTTTCTGCTACTTTTTTTATTAATGTATAAAACACAATCAATTTCTGTACATTAATTTTGTATCTTGTAACTTTACTGCTTTATTTATTAGTTCTAATAGTCTAATAGTTTTTAGGTGGAGTCTTTAGGGTTTTCTATGTGTATCACATCATCTACAAATAGTGACAGTTTGACTTCTTACCAATATAAATGGCTTTCATTTCTTTTTCTTATCTGATTGTTGCAGCTAGGACTTCCATTACTATGTTGAACAAAAGTGGCAAGAGTGAACATCCTTGTTTGTTCCTGATCTTAGAGGAAAAACTATCAGTTTTTTTTACCATTGAGTATAATGTTAGTTGTGGGTTCGTCATATACGGCCTTTATTATGTTGAGTTTTGTTCCTTCTAAACCCACTTTGTTGAAAGTTTTTATCATGAACAAATGTTGAATTTTGTCAAATGCTTTTTCTGCCATCTATTGAGATGATCATATGATTTTATACTTCATTTTGTTAATGTAGTGTATCACATTGATTGATTTGTGAATACTGAACGATTCTTGCATCCCTAAAATAAATCCCACTTGATCACGGTGAATGATCCTTTTAATATATTGTTGGAAAGGGTTTCCTAATATTTTATTGAGGGTTTTTGTGTCTATTTTCACCAAGGCCACTATATTAGCCTGTAGTTTTCTTTCTTTGTAGTATCTTTGTCTCGTTTTGGTATCAGGGTAATACTGGCCTCATAGAATGTATCTGGATGGGCGCCTGGGTGGCTCAGTCAGTTAAGCGTCCGACTTCAGCTCAGGTCACGATCTCCTAGTTTGTGGGTTTGAGCCCCGCATCAGGCTCTGTGCTGACAGCTTGGAGCCTGGAGCCTACTTCAAATTCTGTGTCTCCCTATCTCTCTGCCCCTCACCTGCTCATACTCTGTCTCTCAAAAATAAATAAATGTTAAAAAAAAAAAAGAATGTATTTGGAAGCTTTCCTTCCTCTTCAATGTTTTGGAATCGTTTGAGGAGAATAGGTGTTAACTTTTCTTTAAATGTTTATAGAATATGGAGTGTCTTGGTGGCTCAATTGGTTGAGGACCCAACTCTTGATTTCAGTTCAGGTCATGATCTCACGGTCTTGAGATCAAGCCCCGAAACAGGCTCAGTGGTCAGGATCAGGGATTGGGCTCAGTGTTTGGGGTCCACGCTAAGCATGGAACCTGCCTAAAATTCTCTCTCTCCTTTTCTCTCGGCCCCTGCCCCACTCGTGCTTGATCTCTCTCTCTCTCAAAAAAAGTTTTTAATAATAAAAAAGAAATAAATGTTTGTAGAATTCACATGTGAAGTCACTTGGTCCTAGATTTTTGTTTGTTGGGAGTTTTTGATTACTGATCAATTTTGTTACTAGTTATTTTTCCGTTCAGATTTTCTATTTCTTCCTGATTTGGTATTGGAAGATTGTATGTTTCTAGGAATTTATCCACTTCTTTTAGGTTGTCCAACTTGTTGACATATAATTTTCCATAGTATTTTCTTTTTTAAAAAAAAATTTTTTTTTTCAACGTTTTATTTATTTTTGGGACAGAGAGAGACAGAGCATGAACGGGGGAGGGGCAGAGAGAGAGGGAGACACAGAATCGGAAACAGGCTCCAGGCTCTGAGCCATCAGCCCAGAGCCTGACGCGGGGCTCGAATTCACGGACTGCGAGTCGTGACCTGGCTGAAGTCGGACGCTTAACCGACTGCACCACCCAGGCGCCCCTCCATAGTATTTTCTTATAATCTTTTATATTTCTGTCGTGTTGGTTGTTACTTCTCTTTTATTTCTGATTTTATTTGGATTCTCTCTCTCTCTCTCTTTTCTTGATAAGTCCAGGCTAGAGGTTTATCAATTTTATTTATCTTTTTAAAGAACCAGTTTTTGATTTTGTTGATTTTGGTTTCTGTTTCATTTATTTCCGCTCTGATCTTTATTATTTTCTTCCTTCTACTAACTTTGGGCTTTGTTTGTTCTTTTCTTTCTAGTTCCTTTAAATGTAAGTTTAGATTGTTTATTTTTTTTATTTTTAAAATTTTAATTCCCGTATAGTTAACATACAGTGTTATATTAGTTTCAGTATAGGTACACAATATAGTGATTCAACAATTCTATACATCACCCAGTGTTCATCATAACTAGTGCACTCCTTAATCCCCTATCACCTACTTCACCCATTCCCCTACCCATTTCCCCTCTGGTAACCATCAGTTTGTTCTCAATAGTTGAGCGTCTGTTTCTTGTTCTCTCTTTCTTTGTTGTTTTTTCCATTTGCTCATTTATGTCATTTCTTAAATTCCACATATGAGTCTAATCATACCATATTTGTCTTTCTCTGACTGACTTATTTCACTTTGCATATACTCTCTAGGTACATCCATGTTGTTGCAACTGGCAAGATTTCATTCTGTTCTGTGGCTGAATAATATTCCCATATTATGCTTACATAATTTGGCTATTGTAAATAATGCTGGTATAACCATAGGGGTGCGTGTATTCCTTTGAATAAGTGTTTTTGTATTTGGGGGGTAAATATCCAGTAGCACGATTACTGGATCATAGGGTAGTTCTATTTTTAACTTAAAAAATTTTTTTTTAATTTGAGAGAGAGAGAGCACACAAGTGGGGCAATGAGGAGAGGGAGGGGCAGAGGGAGAAGAAAGAGAGAGAGAGAGAGAGAGAGAGAGAGAGAGAGAGAGAGAGAATCCCAACCAGGCTCCATACTCAGCATGGAGTCTGATGCAGGGCTCAATCCTAGGACCCTGGGATCATGAGCTGAGCTGAAATCAAGAGCCAGATGCTCAACCAACTGAGCCACCTAGGCACCTCTATTTTTAACTTTTTGAGAAACCTCCATACTGTTTTCCAAAGTGGCTACACCAGTTTGCATTCCCACCAAGAGTACAAGAGTTTCCTTTATCTACACACCCCTGTCAGCACTTGTTTCTTGTGTGTGTGTGTGTGTGTGTGTGTGTGTGTGTGTGTGTGTAAGACATTCTGA